TTATAATCAACATTTTGAGCCTAGCACAACAGAAATACAAGATATACTGTAATCAGATTACTAACAAAAAAAAAATCACTTATTTAACTATTGTTAACTCAGGGACAAACAAATATTTACTTTTCGATTCAGAGAAAATACCTGATAAAGTGAGTCTAAATATATTATTGAAGGGGATAATAGTGATGACTTTTCTGTGTGATGATGGCTTCCTAGATGCATACATACACATTTATAAAATTATGTAATTTTAACACTATGGCTTATTGTATGATTATTATATTTCAATAAAGCCTTTTAAATGTGAAAAAAAACCTATATTGGATGCATAACTGAGGCCATAGAGAGGTCTTCTGGTATATACTGGAAGTGCCAAGAAATGCAAATGGGAAAATACTTCACTAAATCATAATACACAAAACTATATTCTGAACGTATCATTTTTATAAATTTAAGAATTTTTCATAAATTATGAATCAATGAAATGGAATCAGCTTACATAATATCTTCTGGAAACATAGATACCTCTAATAAAGGAGTATAATAGTGCTGGATTTAATTATGCAGTTTGATTTTTCTCTTTAGCACTTACCACTTCTACCATGCAGTATATTTTATTTAATTACTTAATTTTCATAGTTGTCTCTCTCCCCACAACCACCACTAGAATATAACCTCATGAAGGCAGATGTCTTTTACCAATAGGTGACTACTGTATCTTGAGTGTTTAAAAGGATATATGGAGCTACAAGTTGCTTTACATTTACATATTTGTTGGAATGCATGAATATTTTTCAAAGTCTTATGGTATAGAGTCATAGTTAGAAGAAGCCATATATAATAATAACTTGAAATGTAAATTTGAGTTTAAAATCATAAAGGAAAATCATCAAATATAAGAAGTAGAAAATATATTTTATTATAAAAGGGTCTCATTCCATCATCTCACATTTTAGATGCAGAACCTAAGGTGCAGAGAGATTAAGTGACTTACCAGATCACAGAATTTTCGTATTAAAAGGCATCTTACACTTCATGTAGTCCAAATATTTCAGTGATGATTCGGGCTACTTGTGTGTTTTGTAGAAGAATCAGTTAAATAAAAACATTTAAACTATGCCACATTCATAAACCAGAGACTGCATCAACCTGAGACCAGAAGAACTAGATGGTGCCCTGCTACCACCAATGACCACCCTGACAGAGAACACAACAGACACTTCCTGATGGAGCGGGAGAAAAGAGGGGTGCAGAACTCAAATTCTAGCAAAAAGACCAGACTTAATGGTCTAACTGAGAGTGGAAGAACCCTAGAAAGCATGGCCCCTGGACTCTCTGTCAACTCAGAACTAAAACCTTTCCCAAGGCCAACTCTTCAGACAAAGATTAGACTGTACTATGGGACATAAAATGATATATGTGAAGAGTGTGCTTTTTAGCTCAGGTAGATACACGAGACTAAATGGGCAGCTCCTATCTGGAGGTTAGATGAGAAAGCAGAGAGGGTCAGGAGCTGGTTGAATGGACATGGGAAATCAGAGGTGGAAAGGAGGAGTGTGCTGACACAGTATAGAGAGAGCAATTAGGGTCACATAAAAATGTATAAATTTTTGTATCAGACCAACTTGAATTGTAAACTTTCACTTAAAGTACAACAAAAAAATTAAAAAATTAAAAAAAAATATGCCACAATCTCCGTTTTCCTCTACTTGAGGAACCTCAAAACCAAAACCATGTCATACTGGTCTAATCCTCTAAGAGCTCAAATGCAATCCTTCTTCCTTGTGAAAATTTAAAAAAAAAAATGTTTTCAGAAAGGTCTCTATTGTGACTCTCCAACCAAATATCTCTAACCCATTACTTGTTTTGTGTTCCAACTAAATACCACTTTCTCCTGAATATTGAACTTACTTAACTCACGCTTAAAACATAGTGTTATAATTAAACACAATTCTCTAGATGTGATCTTACTGGGAGAGAATAGCATGGACTGATTTCCTGATCCATTCTAGAAAATGCATTTCTCTTAGTGCAACCTGTAACTACATATGTTTTTTCAGTAGCCATATCACGTTCGACTCATATTAATCTTAAAGTAAAAAACAAACAAAAAAAAAACTTAGTAATGTTCTATATGCCACTGCTAAACCCAGTTATCTTTATTGTATATTTATGCACTTTGACTTAAATTATAGATACATTAACTGCTTAATACTTCCCTTTTACATAGTGTTATGGTCAAAGAATGTATATATTCTGAAAACAAAGCACGAACAATTCAATTGAAAGAGCATAAAATATAAAATTTGAAACTCATATCCTACCGATAAAAACCTGGTGGCACCTGCCTCACCAGGAAGTTTTTCTCCATGTCTTGGAGAACGTCATTCAGCATACGGACGCGGATGGGAGCTCGCTCCTTGGGATTGTTAGCAGGACGCATCTCATCTGACTGAAAGAGTTCTGCACTTTCCCGCAGGTGTGACGCCATGGCTAGCAGCTGATGAGTGTTGAGTTGATTACCTGGTGAAGACAGATGAACCGTCTCAAAGGAGACATTTCCAATGGAGCAAAATAACCATTCTACAATCATGACTCTATGGGAGTAAGCCAGACAGACCGGTTGTCATTGGTAGTTCTCTTCTGTCTGTCACTTGGAAAAAACAAGGGTATACACATTTGAATAATGTCTCTCAAAAGGAAGATTCTATAGTAACTAAATTTTGATAATTTATTCATTCAGCTAAAATTATTCTATCTAAACTTTTTTTTTTTTGAGCCCTGGTGGCACAGTGGTTAAGATTTTGGTTGCTAACCAGAAGGTCAGCAGTTCAAATCTACCAGCCACTCCTTGGAAACCCTATGGGGCAGTTCTACTCTGTTCTGTAGGGTCCCTATGAGTTGGAATCGACTTGACAGCAATGGATTTACACGTTTTTATATTCTACTAAATTAACTGCAATAATAGTAAGAACAACAGTAAATAGCTGGTAATTGAGAGAAGAGAACGCTATGTTCCAGGCACTGTGAAAAGTTTATATAATCATCTCATTTAATATTCAGCAAACCTTGTATTGTCATGTCCATTTCCTAGAAGCTGAAGATTAATTAAGGTAAGCAAATCGTCACAGGTCATCTACCAAGTAAATGACAGGCAAGAATTTAGAAGGCTGCACTTTTGGATACAAAATTCATGCTTACAATGGAGTATCCTTGACTTCAGGGGAAAAAAGTGTATACACACACACACACACAAGGAATTATCTTCTTTTCTGAGAACATGATATGAGATATGTACTATATGGCCACCATGTGTCTATTGAACCCTTTTTTCTTAGAAATTTCCTGTAATGTGAAGATGAATTATATCTTTGATTTGAGAATACACTGAAAACTATCTTATATATTGTTTGTATTGTCCTGTTTGTTTTGAGATAATTTTTTGCTTGTCTGCTGTTGTTTCTTCTTAATTTGTTTGTATGAGTTACTAGAAGTCATCCTGATGTAAATGACAGTGGCAAAAAGACCACAAGACAGTCCTTTGACTAAGAGAAGTGCAACATTAGTACAGTGGTAAAGTTTATTGGACCTTGGAGACAGACCACCTGAGTTCAAATCCCTGCTCCACCACTTAACAGCTGTGTAATGGTGGGCAAGTTACTGAGCTTCAGTGTGCTCACTTGTAAAATGTACTTAGTAATAGTACTTACTTCATACATTTATTGTAACAATTAAATGATTAATACTTGCAAAGCATTTCCCTACAGGTAAGCAGTTTCCAGCTGATGTGATTTGAGACCATGGTTAAAAACCATTCTTTTGTCATGTTATGAGAGGGGCTTGCCTCCTCATTTTCTTCCAGGTATCCCCACATTAAAGTCTGTCTTTGTATGAGGCAAAAGTTAGCGATATCATTCTCAGGAGATTAGGTAAAACTGACACAACAAGGTCACTATGTCACTACAGAAAGTTACTTCAGATCAAGATAATAAATGAACACGGACCTGGGAAATCTAAATCGACCGTCCTGATGGCATGGAATTGAGGAAGTTTACAATGTTGAGTTTTACCTAAACTTTATGTTCCTGCAAAACAGTGATGGTTAAAGAATTCCCCCCATCCTTCAGGTTCCAGAAGATGGCTTACTGCAAAGACCCACCCTTCCCCATTTGACTCAGATAAGACTTCCCAATGCCCCCTTGTTTACCTACGACAAGACGAAACATAGACCCTCCAAAACCAGGAAAACTAGGTTAGATGTATTCCTGGCATATAAAATCTGTCTGGCATAAAATTACCAATAATTACTTTCTGAACTGTTTGTTCCCACTGATCAGCCAGTCAGAGCAATATGCTTGTTAACCAAACTTAGGTTAGGGCCCTTTCCTTTCCTAAAGCCCCTAAACTGTGGCCAGCTCTCAGCCTGAGTCAACAAACAAGCCCACCTAAGGGATCCTTCTGGAGAACAGGCTGGTCTCAGCATAAAACAGTCTTTGATTTACGATCCAATCACATCATCCTTTTATCCTACTTCCCCACACCTGGTTCTTTCTAGCCTTGTTTACAGTTCTATTCAAGAAAAATCCTTTTTGCCTAATTATCTTGCTGATCTTCTGGTTAGAGCTCTTCTCCCTATTGCAATAAACTCCTCCCCTACTGAAATAGTCCCCCCCCCTAAACTGCAATAATCTTTGTGAATAGTCTCTCCTTAAGTCCAAATTTGCTTTTTTATTTGACTCAGGCACATGGAAAGATGAAAGGAAGCCTGTAGGCACCTTCGCTAGGGGGAGTCTTGGACAAAAGGAAAAGATCACAGAAAAGACTTTTCTCCAGTTGAAACCCAAAGATTACCAAATCCCCAAATACCTAGTCTTTGTGGAAGTATAGATTCCCAAACCTGTGACTCTCTCTAGAGATAGAGTCCAGGAATCTCTTTACAACAAGCTCCTCAGATTACTCTATGCATTTTAAAGATGAAGAACCACTGTAGAAAGGGGATAGGCTAAGAAAAGAAAAACTAGAAGTAATCCTGATTCAGCAAATTTGCCTGTCACAGAATTTATACTGTTACTGTTATTGTGTGTCGTGGAATCGATTCTGACTCATAGCGACCCTATAGGACAGAGTAGAACTGCCCCATCGGGTTTCCTAGGCTATAATCTTCACAGGAACAGATCTCCAGGTCTCTTCTCCCACCAAGCAGCTGGTGGATTTGAACTGCCAACCTTGTGGTTAGCAACCTACAGTGTAACCATTGCACCACTACGTTCTCCTTCTCATAGAATTACAGACCTCTAATATAATGATCAAGGAGCCCTGGTGGTGCAATGGCAGCTAACTGAAAGGTTGGTGGTTTAAACCCACCAGCCACTCTGCGGGAGAAAAAGCCTGGCAGTCTATTCCCAGAAAGATTACAGCCTAGGAAA